ATGGACGGCTCATTTCTTTCTCACTTTGGAACGTGTGGTTTGTCCTCGTCACTTACAGCAGGAAGTCCACTTTGCAAAGCCTTTTTGCTTGGAGTGTGTTAGGGTCTTTTCTCCCTCTTCTCCCTCTCTCCCTGGCTGTGATTTGCTTTTCTTGGGCTCCAAGGAAAACTGGGGAGAGGGAGAGAGTATTAGAGAATCTGGGTGATGTTCCCAGCCTTCCTTATTCATCTCGGCTCCCACCCTGTGAGGAAAGCAGAAGTGGCGGCCAGCCCGGGTGCCTCACAACTCAGAGCAGGGCCAGAGAGGCGCTGAGGCCAGGGTCCGAGCAAAGGACGGGCAGCCAGAGAGACTTTCCCTCTTAGGTTCCGTGGAGTGGCTTCCTCCTGCTGTGGCCCTGAACCTGCTGCTTCAGGGCCCTTGTGGCTCCGTGTCAGCCTGCTGTTTCTGCCTTCCTGTCGCCCCTCTTGTTTTTTTTCGCTTGGGGGGGGTAGCGGGGATCGAACTCGGGACCTTGTGCTTGTGAGGCGGGTGGTGGAACGACTGAGCTAAATCCCCGGCCCTGTTGCACCTCTTGGAATTAGGGGCTCACAGTCAGTGCTCTGGCAGCAGGACCAGAGGGTATAGGACCCAGGAAGGGTGTTTTGAAGAAGGGACAGGTTGGACGTGGAGAAGCCTGGCAGGGGCCGCTGCAGTACAGACTCAGGAACTGACAGGACTGGCAGCTCACCAGGAGAGGAAGGCTTGATGGTGGAGGTGGGATGGCTCATGGCCTGCGAGGCCTAGGAGTCTGCCCCGCCACTGCCTGGCTGTGGGAGCTGGCCCTGCGCTGGCCTCCATTGGGCCTCTGCTCCCTTGTCTATAAGATTAGAATAATAAGAGCTAGGGGTACAGCTCAGTATGGAACACTTGCCTAGCGTGCATGAAGCCCTGGGTTTGGTCCCCAGCACCACAGTTTATACTTCTATACTTACACTGCTATAGCTATATAAGGTATGATTGAAATCCACAGTAAATGTTTACATTTTTTTAAAAAAAAATTACAATAAAGGACACATTGCCATGAATCCCCCTCAAAATATTTCACTTGCTTCAAACACACTTATCCTGTTGTCCTTGCCACTTTCTGAAGCGGGTCTGGAAGTCTTGTGTAAGTCTCTTTCGTTGCACTGTTGAGGCTGCTTCCATGTCCTGAATCAATTCAAAATATTGGACTTTCATGGTCATTTTGAGTTTGGGGAAGAATTAGAAATCACACACAGCCAGGTCTGGTGAATAAGGTGGATGAGGACACACCATGATGTTTTTACGAGCCCACCTTTCCTTTGGATGGTACTCTGCAGCAGCATTCACTGTCTTTTTATCACACCTCATGAAGACCCTCACGGTAGAGGACTTCCAGAAGTGCTTCAGGAAGTGGTGATAACAATGGGATAAGCGTGTTTGAAGTAAGTGCTATGTATGTGTGCACTTTTATTTTTACTCTCGCTATCTAAGTGGTAGAGGATGGTCAGCACCTAAATCAGGGAGCTAGAGGGTAAACTAAGGCAGGAAGAACCCACCACTTACTGAGTCTGTCTGCACCTTCTGGACACAGGAAGGAGATAAAAAGGAAAGTGTTTTTGTGAATGTCACCCAGAAGAAGCCCAATAGGTGGAGGAGGCAGGTGGGAAGCAACTGTAACCCAAAGTAGAGCAATGGAGGGTCTGAGCGGCCCATACTGAGGTGGCCCCAGAGGGAGGATGGCTTTGTGGCTGAGGTGTTGTCAGAGCTGGGCCTTGAAGCATGAGGAGGAGGGAAGGGAGGTCTGTGGACTCTGTGAGCAGCACAGGCAAAGGCACTGAGCCAGCAGGGAACAGGAGCCAGGCGTAATCACAGAATCGCACACATCGAGGGCAGTTACCAGCCGTGACAAGAGGAGGAGACGTAACCAGACCTCTCAGTAACAGAGATGAGATTGTTAAGATCAAGAATCGGGGAAGCTTCCCGGGAGGAATGGAGAGGATGCCTGTGACACGCATGCCAAGGTTTGAAGGTGATGAGAAGTTCATAAGACTCAGACAGGAAATGGTATGTGCCAAGCCCCTGGGGCACAAGGGGCCAGATGCATCTGGGTAGCAGAACAGGGACCCTGGTGCCTGGGCTACGGGGAGCCAGAGGAAAATACACACAGCATACCCCTGGGGAGGCTGAGGACCATGGGACCTTGTGGAAGGTTTTAGACTTTTCCTCTACATGACCCCCGGGAAAGTGTCTGGGAAGGGGAAGGCTGTCGTGAGAGCCTGTCACGAGTGGACACACAGCAGGCACAGGTGTTGAGTTGACAGTAGCCATGGTCACATGTTGGCCACGTCCCTCAGTGCTTGGGACTGTGGGTGCCACACCTGGCGGGAGGCTGGGCTGAGTTAGAAGACCGCACCCCAGGAGACGTTCACGCGTGATGCTTCGGCTCTGGTCCCTCCTTGGGACCAACCGATCAGATCAGATTCTGAGCAGGAGCTGTGACTCTGCCTCCTGTCCACAGGAGAGCGGCCCAGGGACAGTGGGGTCCCCCCCCGCCCCATCACCAATCTGTGGTGGGCAGGAGACTGGCGGGCTGCCCAAGCAGGCCCCAGCGTCTGCAGTCGGCCTGGTGACTCCCATCAAAAACAACTTTGTTGTGCTTTGTTGGCATTCGGGGTCATAAATCTGTAGAGCAGAGTGGATTCCCTGGGTGTTAAAACCACCTGCCAACAGAGAGAGAGAAAGCAGAGGTCTGGTCGGGAGCTGAGGTCAGAGAGATGGACTTGACGTCGTTTTTAGGAAATCCACTCTGGCTGCCTTGGTTTGGTTTGGTCAGAAGCACATGGTGGCTGGACTTGGGAAGACAGCACTTTGGATCTTTAGGCCCCTTCCTGTGGCCAGGTTCCACTAATCTTGTCCCTGGGGAGGCTGGGGTGAGGGCTCTGAGAGAGGCAAGGTCATGGCCAGACAGCCACACAGGGCCACTCAACTCCTGCCACAGCACGGAGCGGGGGTGGCCTGCTGGGACCCAGGCAGGGAGGGACACCTTTTCCTCTGAAAAGCCCTCTCCTCCTCTCCACTGTCTCCTTCCTGGGAAAGACTGGCCTTCCAGAGAGGGTGACTCAGTACCCCAAGCTACTTGGTCATGTTCCCAGCTAATCTAGTCCTGGCTGAGTGATTTCGGACAAATCATTTAACCTCCGAGGCATGACGGCCTGTGTCTTACAGGGTTATCTTGAGATGTCACTGATCAGTGTAAAATGAGTGGGTAGGTACCTAGAATGACAGCTGGACGATATCGGCACTTGGTAAATGTTCTTTTCTTTCCCCTTTTCCTCCATAAGGAGAGACAGCGCCCTAGCCAAAGGAGCTCCCTGGTCTCTAACTCTCTACTCAGCCAATGTGCAGGAACCAGATATTTACCTGTGGCACCAAGGACACAGAACAGATCAGGGTCTGGTGTCACTTAGAGGACAGGAGTGTCACACAGTGTCAGCCACCAGACAGTAAATAAATAAATGTACACTATGCTTGCCATAAGTGCCCTGGGGGCAAGTGAGACAGAGTAAGGGGACAAGAGTGTGGGTAGCCTGGTGACAGATCCAGATGGCATGGAAACGGAGACCCTGACTGACAGCTGGAGGGAGGGGCCATGTGGGAGAAGGAGGAGGGGTGGTTCAGGCAGCGGGGACAGCCAGGTACCAAGAGAGAATGGGCAAGGCAGGCATGCTCAAGGGCCAGCGGGCCAGCAGTGTGGCTGCACAGAGGGATGGGGAGAGGGCAGGAAATGAGGGCCGATAAGCAGGAGTCACCTGGGGCCTGGAGGTAGCAGTTTGGCTTTGAGGGTGAGTGGGATGGGAGGCCATCAGTGTGGGGGTGGAGCTGAGGGATGACGGATCCAGTAGGTCTCAGAAGGGTCCCCCCGCTGATAGATGGCACAGGCAGAGGAGACCCCAAAGACACAGTGACTGCCTCCTCCCTGGCCCTCTGCCCTCTGCAGGCCTGACAGCCAGGACATACCTTCCTCCTTCGGCAGGGCCTCTGAGCACCCGGCTCACACAGGGAGGTGAAGAGCGTGTCACCAGGGGCTCTAGGGAGCCAGATAAAGCACTACCCCACAGTCAGGCTTGTGCACATGTGTGTGTATGCCTGTGTGTGCATGCATGCATGTGTACATGTGTGCAGGTGTATGCAGCTATGTGCATGAATCCCTGATGTGTGTGCGTGTATCTCTTACGTGGACGCGTGTGTGTTAGTGTATACATACATGCACACAGGTGCTTATTCCTGAGACAATATTGGAGAGACGGTGAGATTCTCTCTGGGACCCCGCAACTCCAGTTCTTTGGCCATCACCAGCCTCCCGGGTCTGCACAGGTGACATCGGTATCTCTCTGTCCTCTGTGACCAGTGCTCCTCCATCCCTGTGCTCTCCTGACCGGAGTCCTCTTCCCCAGGGCTGATGAGTCTGCCTGGTGTCTGACAACTTACTGTCCTCCCCGCCCCACACCAGGGCCACAACACCAAGTCATGTGTCAGACTGAGAATCGTGAAGACAGAGTTGGCAGCTCCGTAGCTGCCACTGTCCGCCCTGGGCTGCAGCAGGTGCCACTCACAGACCACATTGCACTTGCCCGAGCCTGGGCTTGACCTCAAGCCCTTTGACCTGGATGAGCGAGGTAACGGGTACCTGCTTCCCTACTCCACAGGCTTCCAGGTTTACCCCAGGGAGCTTTGATTTCATAACTCTGACGAGGGAATACAGGCAACTGCCATCCATTCATTGGGCAAAAAAAAAGAGAGACAGGGAGAGAGAAAGGGTAAGAGAAGGTGGATATGATCAAAGTGTAATATATGCGTTTTGGAAACGTCACAGTGAGACCCATTCACTTGTACAGTTAATGTGAGTTAATAGTCAGAATATTTTAAAAGAAAGAGCGGAAGTAACTACTTGCTTGGGTAGAATAGGCCCTGCTTCAGTGGTGCCCAGGGTGTCACCCTCAAGCATGTACAGCAGGTGGTCTGTGCCCAAGGGAAGGAGGGAAGAGGACATGCTCAGCTTCAGAGTCCCCTTCCTGCAGGCTGTGGGATCTCGGGCAGGTGGCCCAGCCTCTCTGACCGTGTTATCCCTTGGCTGCCCACACCATGGGGTTATCATGAAGACTCAATGACAGCATACATGAGAGCGTTCTTTGAAGCATATGAAGCGTCCTACATGGGAAAGGGGTGACAATGAGGAGAGTTTTTATTCTGCTGATTACTTTTCACTTATCTGAAAGTTTGGGCATGGTCAGGGTTCTCCCCTGAAATCCTGCAGACTCCAATTCAGTGGTCCTGTTAGTGCTGACAGCCAGGCGGAGGTATAACTTGGGTGGAGAATGAAGCCAGACATGGCCCTGAAAGTGCCATGGAGCAGAATGAATCGGGGTGGGTGTCTACGGTCCTGGTGCTGAGCTATCCAGCCCCACTGCACCCCAGGGCAAAGCTCAGCCTCTCCACTGCTGTACCTAGGGTATCTGCCAAGCATGGGGTTGTGACACAATGCCAACTGGGTGGGTGCAGAAGAGGCACATCAGGCTAGCCTTGCTGTAGAACCTCCTGCTCTCGAGGTAACTGATCCCGTCCCACAAAACCCACCTCGCTCTTGAGAGACCCAATCCAGTCTCTTAAGAAAGACGTAAATCCATTCATGAGGATCGAGCCCCATGGCCTAGTTATCTCCAAAAATTATCCCCCCACCTTTCAACACTGTCATATTGGGAGTCACATTTCAGTGCGAGCTTTGGTGGGGACAAAGCTCATTGAAAGCACAGCAGCGCCATACTCACATGTGTTGTTACTCCTCGTGGTTTTCCCGAAGAGGCAAAGCATTTGGCTGTCAGTGGCTGCATGATGTCCCCAAACAGGGAGATGCTGGAGGCCACGGCCCAGGATTAGGGGACTTCCTCCTGCAAAGGCAGCCAGAGCTGCGCACGCAGGTTCAGAAGGAGCAGTCAGCCAGCCGTGCCAGGACCTGGGCCCGGAAGGAGATGGGAGGTCAGTTCCCCGACTCCTTCACAGGCAGAGAGGAGAGGAGGGAGGAGAAGAGAAAAGGAGAGAAGAGAAAGTGGAAGATGAGACCTACAGAAGCTGGGAGAAGCAAGATCAGAGGAAGGCATGGTAGGAATAGGAAGTGGGCAGCTCTCTCTCCCCAGGAGACCAGAAATTCTCTGAGAGGAACCTGGGCCTGCCATTCAGGCTGCATCTCCCCCAAAGCCAGGCTTCTGCCTCCTCCGTCAGCTTCTGACTGCCCAGGGCAGGGGTGGTCCTCTCCTGTCAGACTGTGCAGACTCTCCAAGGTGGGAGACCCTTGCTGAGTCCGCCACACAGGGGGCCAGGCCTCCACCTGCCTGACTCACTCTCCTCTTCTACCCAGGGTTCACGGATACCTTCAACATGGACACCAGAAGGCCGCGGGTCATCATGGGCCCCAAGACCGCCTTCTTCGGCTACACGGTGCAGCAGCACGACATCAGTGGCAAGAAGTGGTGAGTAAGAGTGGCCGCCCACACCCACTTCCAGCCTGAGCCTAGTGCCTGCACAGCCCGGCCTCACACACAGATCTCAGGGTAGAGCGACCGAGTCTGTCCCAGCCGGTCAGAGGCCAAGCGAGCACCCTGACCTGATTCCCTGCGTGGTCGGGTTCTCAGGCCCTGCATCCCCTTGTCTGAGAAACAGCTCCTCCTCCTCCTCCGGATCATGTGACAAAGATCGTAGGCACCCGGGGACCGACAGTTCCCTCTTGTACCCCCTGGGACTCCGTGCCTCATCGGTGGGGGTGGCGCCTGTGCTCCTGCCCTCTCGGAGAGCTGTTGGGGTCTCTGGGGGGAGGGGGTGACTGTGCTCACAGTGGGTGGGGCCAAGGGAAATGATGGTCAGACTAAGTTGGGGGACAGAAAGATCCCCACAGACACTAACTGCCAAAAGCTTTGCCTCTTTGGGAAAATCACGGGTCATAACGACACACGTGAGTATGGCGTCGCTGTGCTTTCAATGGACTTTGTCCTCATGGTTGGGCTGAAATGTGACCCCTATGTGACAGTGCTGAGAGGTGGGGGCCCCCAGGAGATAATTAGGTCCTGGGACTCCACCCTCATGATGGATTCACATCTTTCTTACGAGACCAAAGGGGTCTCTCAAGAGCGAGGTGGGTCTTATGGAGCTAGATTAGGACAATCAAGAGGAAGGAAAGATCTACCTTCAGTTTTTAAAATAACTGCTGAAGCATGTTTCATCATATAATTCATTCATTTCAAGAGTACAAGTCAATGACCTTTTTGGGGTTTTTTTTGTACCGGGCATCAAACTCGGGTCCTTGTGCTTGCAGAGCAGGAGGTGGAACCTCTGAGCTAAATCCCCAGCCCTATGATTTTTAAGTAAGTTTACCAAGTTGTGCACCCATCAGCACAAATCAGTTGTGTGCATTCATCACCCCAAGCCGATTCCTTGTGCCCTTGACTGATAATGCCTGTTCTCCTTTCTGACCAGGTTTTAGCCACAGAGAACAAGGCCCTCTTTATTCCCTGGCATAGAAAGGATCAGGCCTCTGCGGGCCCTGTTAGGAGCCTGTATGAGTCCATTTTCTATGGCTATAACAAAAGAACTGAGGCTGAGAACTTTAGAAAGAAAAGAAGTTTATTTAGCTCAAGGTTTTGGAAGATGAAAGTCCCAGATTGGGTGCCCTCATGGAGACAGGTCCAGGAGAGATCACATAGTGACACAGGAAGTCAGAGTGAGTCAGCACCAGGCTCACTGTTGCAGCTCAGTCTCTCGAGAACTGATTCCACAAACCCAGCAGGAACCCCTTCTGAAGGCAACGACCCCAGTGACCAATTACCCTGCCCTATGTCCCACTTATTAAAGGTCCCCACCTCATTGCCTTTGCATTGAGCTACATGCCTTGCTCTTTTTTATTTTTTATTTTTGAGACAGGGTCTCGCTAAGTTGCTCAGGCTGAGCTGTGACTAGCGATCTTCCTGCCTCAGCCTCCTGAGCAGCTGGGCTTACAGATGTGTGCCACCATGCTTAACTGACTATCTGGTATCTTTTACTCAACATTGTGTCAATGGGGTTCAACACGCTGGTGAATGTACCGTGCTTCACACTTTCCCATGATGTACCATATTCCATTGTATTACTGCACCACAATTTTCTATTTACTATTGGACACTTGGTTTGCTTCTTTTTGGGGCTACATCTAATGAAGATGCTATTAACATTCTTGGGAACAGCAATATGTCCTCATTTTTATTGTGTACACTCAAGGTTAGAATTTCTTGGATAAAGCGTAGGTATATGATTAACTTTAGTAGCATCTGCCAAGCATTTTTTCCCAAAGTGGTTTACCAATTTAAACTCTCTCTAGTAAAATAAGAGTTCTAGTTGTCCCAAAGCCTCACTAACACATGGTATTATCAGTCACTTTAATTTTAGCCATTCCAGGGGCTTGTAGTGGATTCTCATTGCGGGCTTAATTTGCATTTCGCTACTGACCAAGTTGAGCAACTTTTGTAAATTCATTGGCCATTTTGATGCTCATTTTTTGCAATGTGTCTGATCAGGTCTTCCGTTCGTTTTTAAAATAGTGTCATGTGTCTTCTTGTTCATTTACAGGATGATAAAGATCTGTTCTTTATACAAATCCTTTGTCAGAAGCACTGGAACTCTCTCAATCTATAGCTTGCTTTTTTGTGCTGTTAGTGGTACCTTTGATGAACAGAAGTGCTTAATTTTATTAGAGTCGAATTTATTCATCTCTTATGGTTAGTAGTTTTTGTGTGTCCAATTTAAGAAATCTTTGTCTCCTAAAATCATAAAAATAAGTTCCTGTGTTTTCTTCAAGAAGTTTGGTGCTTTTTCTTTCCCATTAAGGTCAATGATTCATTTCTCTGTCTCTCTCTCTCTCTCTCTCTCTCTCTCTCTCTCTCTGTTTCTCTCTCCCTCCATCCTTTTCTCTCTTTCTCCTTTGAGAAAGAATTATCTCCCTACTTCCTATTATCTTTTAGTTTGCTCTTTACTTATACTTTGAGTTTCTC